ACTAGCAACCCACAGGTACCAATCTGATGTTTTGAGACAAAGATTGAATATAAGAGATGAACTAGGGTTTGAGATGAGATGGTGCTGGTGAAGATGTTGAGGAAGATTGGTCCTTCCATGATGAGAGGATCGTTGGTGATGATGATGGCTTCGATTCCCTCCTCCTGGAGGGAAGTTTCCTTGGCGGAATCACTCCGCCAAGAGCAAAAGTACTCCTGCCCAGGTTCCGCCTCGAGACGGCGGCGCTTCGTCTCGAAACCTTCCTTCTGATTTTTTCTAGGTAAAATGGCATCATACATGAGAAGATGGGCCCCGAAGGCCTGCCAGGGCCACCACAAGCTCAGGGGGCACGCCTAGAGGGGTGGGGCGCGGCCCCCAGGCTTGTGGCTTCCTGGTGGGCCCCCTCTGGTATTTCTTTCATCAATAATTATAATATATTCCAAAATAATTCTCCGTCAATTTTCAGCTCATTTGGAGATGTTCAAAAAAATGCCTCTGATATAGCCCTTTCCAGTCCAAAATTCCAGCTGCAGACAATCTCCCTTTTTATGTGAAACTTGCAAAATAAAAGAGAAAAGGCATAAGAATTGTATCGTAAAGTGAAATAACAGCCCATAATGCAATACATATCAACATAAAAACATGATGCAAAATGGACGTATCAATGTGCCGGTTGATTTTTGTGGCGGTGCAGATTGAGCGGCCGATGTAGGGTGGTGCAAATTGAACGACCGATGTAGATGTGGAGGACGGTGTCGCAGTGGAGAAGTAGAGACAGTGGATCGAGGTCTTAGGAGGAAGCTCTCACTCGAGGAGCAGGACACGCCTGCGCCCGCGGTGGGTAGGTGGAAGCTCCTCGAGGGAGGCGCGCCGGAGGATCTGTTGGTGTGAGGGAGATGGCAATGGCGACGTGGAAGGCTGTCTCGGTGGCTAACGCTCCTCCCGATGATGGCTACATGTGCCCATCACCTTTGTCTGGCTGTGATCCATGGCGTTCTCGGTGCATGATACATCCATTTTGCATCATGTTTTTATGTTGATATTTATTGCATTATGGACTGTTATTCCGGTTTATGATACAATTCTTATACCTTTTCTCTCTTATTTTGCAAGTTTCACATGAAGAGGGAGATCGCCGGCAACTGGAATTCTGGACATGAAAGGGCTACATCGAAGGCACCTTTTCTGAACATCTCCAAATGAGCTGAAAATTGAGAATTATTTTGGAATATATTAAAATTGTTGGCGAAAGAAATAACAGAGGGGGACCCACTAGGCAGCCACAAGCCTGGGGGCACGCCCCACCCCTTGCCCCCCAGCTTGTGGCGCCCCTGGCAGGTCCCCAGGGCCCATCTTCTCCTATATAATGCCATTTGCCCTAGAAAAAAAATCAGAGGGAAGGTTTCGGGATGAAACGCCACCCTCTCTAGGCGGGACCTGGGCAAGAGCACTTTTGCTCTCCGGCGGAGCGATTCCGCCGGGGAAACTTCCCTGAGGGGGGAATCGAAGCTATCGTCATCACCAACGATCCTCTCATCATGGGAGGACCAATCTTCATCAACATCTTCACCAGCACCATCTCATCTCAAACCCTAGCTCTTCTCTTGTATTCAATCTTTGTCTCCAAATCTCAGATTGGTACTTGTGGGTTGCTAGTAGTTTTGATTACACCTTGTAGTTGATGCTAGTTGGTTTATTTGGTGGAAGATTATATTTACAGATCCATTATGCTATTCAATACCCCTCTGATCTTGAGCATGAATATGTTTTGTGAGTAGTTGCGTTTGTTCTTGAGGACATGGGAGAAGTCCTGTCATAAGTAATTATGTGAATTTGGTATTCGTTCGATTTTTTGATGATATGTATGTTGTTGTTTCCTTTAGTGGTTTTATGTGAACGTCGACTACATGAAACACTTCATCATATTTGGGCCTAAGGGAATGCATTATGGAGTAGTTATTAGATTGCTAGAGTGACATAAACTTAAACCCTTGTTTATGCGCTATTCCGTAAGGGGTTGATTTGGATCCATGTGTTTCATGCTATGGTTAGATTTATCTTAATTCTTTTTCCATAGTTGCGGATGCTTGCAAGATGGGGTAATCATAAGTGGGAGGCTTGTTCAAGTAAGAACAACACCCAAGCACCGGTCCACCCACATATCAAATTATCAAAGTAACGAATGCGATTCAAACACACATGATGAAAGTGACTAGATAAAATTCCCATGTGTCCTAAAGAACACTTTGCTTATTATAAAAGACCGTTTCGGCCAGTCCTTTGCTACAAACAGGATTGGGCTACCTTGCTGCACCTTTGTTACCGTTACTACTATTTGCTTGTTACAAATTACCTTGCTATCAAATTATCTGTTACATACAATTTCAGTGCCTGCAGGCAATACCTTGCTGAAAACCACTTGTCATTTCCTTCCGCTCCTCGTTGGGTTCGACACTCTTACTTATTGAAAGGACTGCGATTGATCCCATATAATTGTGGGTCATCGGTGCGCTCCTCATACGGTAAGGCCGAGCCGTCAGTCGTGCCCCTCGCATTGCTGCTCACGCTCAATGTCTAGGGAAGAGGGTGGTGGTGGTGGTGGTGTGAGGGGGATGGGGAATGGGGAATGGGGCGAGCAGTAGCAGCGGCAAGCTCGGCGATGAGAAAGGAAGGGGGCGTGGCGACTAGGGTAAGAGAGAAAAGAGAGGGGCACGACGGGGATAATGGATAGGGTTTCACTCAATCGAGCGCGCTCTTCTCCTTATGTGCAGCCAAGCCATTCACGGGACGCCACACAAGTGCCTCGACGTGAAATCCCACAAATACCCTCGACGATCAATCAAAACTACATGCGGTGGCCCGACACCCACGCCCATTCAAACCAACATAGGACACACCCGCTTCCACAGTCTATGACAACGGCAGCCCACCCCGCCTGGGTCCTACCTATCATGGAGAGGTAGGAAGGCGGAACGCGTGAAAAATGACGGATGAAAGAGATGCACTATTCATTGGTTTTCACATCAGACCTGATCAGACGGCCTAGATTCGTTTGGAAGCCCAATCGAACGGCCCAGAGAGCACATGCCCTGCGAAGGCTTCATTTTATCTCAGAATCTAACAATGGGATGGTATTTTGGCATCTGTTGGAGATGCTAATCTAACAATTGGATGGTATTTTGGCATCTGTTGGAGACGCTATAATACTGTTTTTGAGTGACGTATTTTGCATCATCAATCATCTGTTGAAGATGCTATCTTTTTTTAGAAAACTTCTAATCTATTCATCTTCAACCATGACAGTACAACGAACAAAATAATAATAATAATTACATTCAGATCTGTAGACCATCTAGCGACGACTACAAGCACTAAAGCGAGTCAAAGACGCGCCGCCGTCATCGCTCCTCTCTTGCCGGAATTGGGCACAACTTATTGCAGTAGATAGTCGGGAAGACATCGTGCTAAGCCCCATAGGACCAGCGCATCAGAACAGCAGCCGCCGGCGATGAAGAATAACGTAGATCAAAAGGATCCAACCCGGATACACACAAACATAGACCAACAACAATCAAATCCGAGCAAATCCACCGAGGATAGATCCGCCGAAAACACGCATCCACACACCCACCAACAATGCAAGATGCATCACCGAAACGGGGGCTAGGCGGCGAGGCCTTTATTCCATCTTCAGGGAGCCGCCGCCGTCTCGTCTTCCTGAATAGAACACGAACCCTAACAAATCTCAAATGAATGACTAACAACGGAGCCCTCCTGCCGGCCCTTGTCAGGGTCCATCGCGCTCCATGACCCTAGGACCACTAAAGACGAGGCGGACCTGCGGCGGAGCCAGAGAAAGGCACAAACCCTAGCTTTTCTTGGAGGAGGAGGAGGCGGCGGTTGCATTGGAGATGCTATATGAGGAGGCCGGTCAACAATTCCTGCTTCGGGATATTTCTTGGGCTGACTTTCAGCCAGGGCGTCTAGAAGATCACAACCTTTGACGTCGGGCAGCAGCTATTAATTTACTGCAAGGAAAAGAAAAGTCAATCTGGAGCGAGAATTGCTTGGCATGTCGTTTGAACACACAACTATCTGCAAAACGGCTGATAACAACCCACAATCATCGTTTCTACACGGGATCCCGAGACCGTGTGGTGCCGAGCAAACTTTTGTACGGAGGACGGAAGACGCGGTGCTCGTGATGGAACGCGGATCTTTCGATCCATGAACGGACGAACGAAGCCGCGTACGTACGCAGGGCGGTAGACCCGTCAGCGCGGCCACCCACACCCACCGCGTGCGCGTGCCCGAGCGCGCAGGCAGGCAGGTAGCCCCACGACGGACGGAATTCTCATGCCGCCGGGTTGGGTTGGGTTGGGTTGGGCCGAGCCGTGACCCAGAAACGTGGACTTGCTGGAGGCGGGGTCACATGGTCAACCGGTCAGTGCGTTCGTCGGACCACCCTCGATCGTCGCTGCCCCCAAAAACGAACAAAAGCGACGCGCTCCGCCACAGCCGAGACCCGGTAAAACTTCCGCCTGCTCTGCTCTGCTCTCCTCCCCCCCTCCTCGCCCCCGCCTACCTCCTCGGCTTGGCTTGTCCACCACACCACCACGAGGCGTCGGTGGTGGCGGCGCCGCAAAACATTCGGTTGGCTCGCCCCGGTGGGAACTGCCGGCAGCTCCACCCATCTGCTTCCGCCGCACCTACCAGCGCATCGTCTGCTCCTCGACCAGGTTGGCTACTGCCCCTTCGGGCTTACCGGGTTGCGGAAAGTCTAGCTGATGATTAGTGTCGCCGTACAAATTTACAAGCTAGGGTTTGAGCTTCCCTGCGTGTTCCCCTCCGTCGACTGCCGCGATCCGGTGGAGTAGCCCCGTGTGTGTTTTGTTTGCTCAATCGTGCTGAGATGGTTGATTTCGTCCCCTCGACAGCTCCGGGCGCAGATTAGAACTGGCTTCGGATAAAGGTCTCGGGTAGGCCACGGGATTCGGCGCATGGGGAGCTCCGCCAGCTGCCTCTGGAGCGGCTCCAAGTCGGGGCCAGGTCCAAATGGTCCAGCGGCCGCGGCTGCGTCTCCTCGTTCTGGTACGTTTCATTTGGTTCCATTCGTGTGCTAATGATTAATTGATAATCCTGCTTAAAGCTTTCCAACATTTTAGTCTTCCAATTTTAAGAACATACTTGCTGTTTGACATGAAAAGAGTGGGGGATTTGCTGCAAACTGTCCTATGTACCCATGTTATTTCCAACCACTTTATGGTATCTCCTTACTAGTTGCTCCAATTATTCAAGTGTTGCAAATGGACTGAATGATGAGAAATTTAGGGTGCCTTCCCTAGTTAGTGCCTTGATTAAAGTCAATTTTAACAATGGGACTGAAGCACAAAGACTTCCATTAATACAAACCACAGAACACTATGAATTCTAACAGCAAACTGGTGTGCCTTAATGTTTTGTAACAGGGAAAAAAATCTAGATGTTTGTCGGCTTTTTCATACATATGATAGTGCTATTGGTATGATGTTTCTCTTGAAGACAAGGCTTGGCCCAAAATACCAAAACATTGCAGCAACATAAATGCTTTTATGAGTATAATCGTAAGTTCACGCAAAATAATACACCAGACTGAACCAGCCTTTTGTGTTCTGCATTTCTTTCATGCTACCTGTGTCATCTGCAACTCACGCTTAAATGAAACATTTCCTACACTAGAGGTTGTGTGATCCAATCAAAACTATACCATGACACACATCTGGCAATATCATAAGCAAGAAGAAAGATCAATTTTTCTATCTCTGTTTCTTGAACTAGTAAGCCGAGGTTTTGGTATGTCTAATCATCTAACTGAGAGGATCTTGGTCATAACCATGGCACCCTCAAATCCTCAACCATAATATTTACTATTATATGTTCCAGTGCATTTTTGCTCGGCCTTTCCTTTTTAACTGCCAATGATGATGTCAACTCTGAAAAAAAGTTCAGGCCATGTATTATCAAGATCCGGACGAAATATACAAGTCTTCTCCCTAAAAGAGTTGAAATCTGCCACACGGAATTTTCACATGACGAACTGCATTGGCCGTGGGGGTTTTGGACCGGTTTATAAGGTGAATCATTGGATCGTATTGCTGCCTTCTTACTTTATATGTCATATGTTATCACTGCTCATTAGTCATACTTTACTGCCAATGTTCTCTTTTGGAAGAATGAATAACAGTGGTTCTCCTTCACTTAGGGAGACCTGAGAGATGGCACCCAAGTTGCAATTAAAAGGCTTTCAGCTGAATCAAAGCAAGGAACTAATGAGTTCTTGACAGAGATCGATGTCATATCAAATGTCAGGCACCCCAACCTTGTAAAGCTCATTGGTTGCTGTGTCGAAGGGAATAACAGATTATTGGTGTATGAATATGCGGAGAACAACAGTTTGTCAAATGCTTTGCTTGGTAAGTTTAAGACTGGAATTTTACTTGCACAAAGTCTGACCTGTGTATTAACTTTCATAATCCTGTGCATTACCTTGTGATCAGGACCAAAGAGTAGATGTATCCCTTTGAACTGGCAAACAAGAGCTGCCATTTGTACTGGAACTGCTTCTGGTCTTGCATTTCTTCACGAGGAAGCACAACCACGCATAGTCCACCGTGATATCAAGGCTAGCAACATCTTACTTGATAAGACGCTGGCTCCTAAAATTGGAGATTTTGGACTGGCCAAGCTTTTCCCTGATGCCATCACTCACATTAGCACGCGTGTTGCGGGAACCATGTCAGTCCTCTCTATATCTTTTGGTGTATTTACTTGCTTTTACAGTGCGAGTTATGTGTATTTATGTAGATTTTCTCCGGAACAGATATCGTGCAGTACTTACTTTTACGATGAAAGGAAAAATATTTCAATCAGCTGCCTTCAGTTACTTTTCTCCCAGTTGAACCAATTGACTGTTGTGATGCTGTCGAGACTATTAGTTGTATTTTGCTTTTTCCGTAACGACAAACTTCTATTGACATTTACGGATATGATCTCTCCTGCAGGGGTTACTTGGCTCCAGAGTATGCACTATTGGGACAGTTAACCAAGAAAGCAGACATATATAGTTTCGGGGTGCTGCTTCTTGAAGTTATAAGTGGTGAAAGCAGCAGCAAATCGACTTGGGGGGAAGATATGCATGTCCTTGTGGAATGGGTAATTCACCTTTGCCTCTCCTTTCTCCATAGGATGCAAATACCATGCTTGTATGAACTCTTGATAGCTGCAGCATCATAAATCTGCGCACAGAGAGTCCTAGATTTCCCCATGGTAGACTTGCATCACATATTGGTGATGGTGATCGTATTTTTTCTTTTGCATAATTGACTTGGACTGAACTGCAGACATGGAAGCTGCGAGAAGAAGAGAGACTTTTGGAAATTGTAGATCCAGACGTGGAAGAATACCCAGAGGAGCAAGTACTTCGTTTCATCAAGGTGGCACTTCTGTGTACCCAAGCAACAGCACAGCAGAGGCCATCCATGAAGCAGGTGGTCCATATGCTAGCTAATGAAACAGAAATCGATCTTCAAAACGCCGTCCCACCGGGTGTGCTGAAAGAACCCCGTCGTAAAATGGGTAGTTTGGGGGATTTGGCTCTGGACACGTCCTCGAGTCAGAGCACCAGAGCCAACGTGGCTGGCTCCTGCACCACACAGACCAGAGACATGAACAGCTGTAATTTTAGCACAACGGAGGTTTTACCTAGGTGATGTGGTGGACCAATTTGCAAACTTGTTTGCCACCTCCATCAGAGTGCCATGAGGTTTTGATGCGTCGAGTGCTGACGAGGTTTTTGTTGAAATGGAAAATTGCACATAATGTACTTGAAGCCTTGATTCAGGAGATAGACAGGATGCTGAGGGGAGTAGCTGTGAGTTGCTGCTGTACAGAATGCACACTTCACTTCAAAGTTTAACACATGTTATTCTTTAGTGCTTGGTGTAGAGACGCGTTGCACGAGCATTATGTCGTTGGAGCTTCTCAACAGAAGGCAGCATATGAGAGAGATGTGGCGAGGAACAGGCTGAACAGTTCCCTCGGTGCATATAACCCTAGTCACAATTTAATGTCATAAGTTTACTTTTCTTCATGTAGAGTGAACATATGTGTAGAAATTATGGTTAGTTTCTACAGACCGGTGATACATTGTACTTTTTGTTCATGGTGGGATGTTGCAGTTTATAATTTCTTTAGTGGACCGCACCTAGAGGAGCCCAATTGGAGCTAAATGTTTTCTCACGGGATCTTTGAATGACAGTTCACATGCCAGGAAAGAAAAAATCTTCTGTTCCAAACGGAGTTACTCCCTCCGTTCACAAATATAAGATGCTTCTATCTTTTTTCTGAATTAGATGCATATAGAGACGTTTTAGTGTGTTTGTTCACCCGTTTCTGTCCGTTTGTAGTCTATATTAAAATATTCAAAACATCTTATATTTGTGACGAAGGGAGTACTGAGAACGAAATTATAAATATGACATGACAATACCAACAAAGATATATTGTCAACATTATAAATATGACAATACCAACAAAGATATATTGTCAACGCCAAATTATTTTGACATTGCAAGATCTGTAATCTTAATAAAGTACAGTACTTCAAATGTCAATATGACAATATATGAATCCAATGCATGTGTGTGTAAAAAAATTAGTTATTTCATCTATATATTTGAATTCAGTGCAAGTATTATTATTTTTAAGGGTAAATTCTGTGCAAGTAGAATGAATGTGCTAGGTTGAAAATATAGGTGATGTATACTAACATAACTACACCCTACATAGGATTGTAGGCAGTAGCCTATTTAATTCATAGCTTTGTAGGAACACAAAATGTAGTAGGAATACGTGTAAGTCATGAAGTACATGTTTGGCTCGTAGAATTCTGAGTAGAAAAGAGGTGGTGGGTATGTCTTACCATTTTAGAATGTTTCAGAATTCCTTTTGATTCTTAAAAAAAATACTCCATTGGCTAATTACGTTGAATCAAATGTAGCTAAAGTGAAAATCCTTTAAGAACATGATGCTTGTGTTTTGCCAATGGGATTCCTTTGGATGAGGGCTTAACTGTTTGTAAGCAAAGTTTAAATTATCCAATAAGACACACTATATATGCTTCCAAACAAAACTCTAGACAAAGCAAACATTGACCTTTCCGATGAGCAAAATACATCTTATTATAGCTCAGATTTATTCATTTCAAAGGACAACAAAACGTTATTGCTTTTTTTCCCCAATATGAACTCGGTGAAGAAACGATGAACAACTTTCCAACATGAACTGGGTGAAGAATGATGAACAACTAACAAAAATAATTTAATAGACACTCTATTCTTTGTCTACAAAAGCCGACTCTGCAAGATCAATTGCCCGAGCTAGGGCAGCCGCCTTATTCTCACATTCTTTTTGCTCATCGTCTGGGATACTATCAGCAACAATGCCCGCACCAGCCTGAAGATGAGCAACCCACTCTCGGCGCCTATCTGAGCTTTTGTATGAGTACATCGTATTGTGGCTTGGAGCTGTTGAGAACACAATGGTGCGGAGAGCAAGAGCGATAAGCATGTCACCATCAAATGATATCCCTCCTAAGCCACCACTGTATGGTCCTCGTCTTGTGACTTCCAACTGATCTATTAGTTCCATGGCTTTTACCTGGTTATGTCAAACAAACTTTTAGAGCATAGCAATTTATTTAGAATAGAAAGGCGCATTGATTGCTAAAAAGATGTCAGTGGCTATAGCTGACTATTGTATGAAGAAAGGATCTAAGCAATTCAATTGGAGTTTACAGCATAGAGTACCATAATTGTAGTCTGGATTTTTTTAATGCAGTGATCTAGTATGTATCAAGAATCCAGACAAACCATATGGCTAATATTTCGAAAATGCAAACTAACAATATCTACTGAGAAGATACAAAATGATATACATCGATTATAAAATTCTTCACGGTGCAAACAGGGAATAAAGTTGTCAGAGAAGTGCTTGACAAAAATAGATACTGGTTAAGTTGGAGAGTATGTCCATATAAGAAGGTTGGAAGCAAGAGTTAACCTTTGGTGCCCCACTGACTGTTCCAACAGGCAATGCTGCTCGCAGTGCATCCCAGCTTTCGAGACGATCATCTAACTCTCCACTGACCTGCATAGTGTTCAAAGTGAAATTACATTGGTGTTCGACATAACTGCAGAAAGCAATAATCCCTTGCCAATCACCATACACGCCTACTTTAGTTTTATTAGAAATTCTAAAATGACAAACCAAATCCTTATCTAGTGACAATTTCAATATGGGCTACATACGGATGTCTATAGACGTATTTTAGAGTGTAGATTCACTCATTTTGCTTCGTAATAGTTCGCATTGGAATTTTTAAAAAGCCTTATATTTAGGAACAGAGGGAGTATAACATATAAAGATGTCATATACAGTGAATATCAGTTATTCACAGTGCGAGATTTATTTGATCTATGAACTCTTTATTTTCTTTAATATACCATGATGGAAAAAGAAGACTAACGAATGGCAAAACCCACATGTGTAGAAATATAAGCAACGAAACGAATTAGAAACAAAACGACTAGCTTATTTTGGTAACATAAAAAATGTAATTTTAGTTGTCATATACTGAATTTATGCAAATTCTATTGTTAATGTGATAACCAAGAATAACTAGAGGAACTAACTGCAACTGTAAACTCCCGGTGTAAAATGGATGTGCCATATGAGTCATAGATCACACAACACGAGTTTACCGTGGAGCTGATGTGCATGACATGGGAGTACCGCTCGATGTTCATCAACTTCTCCACCTTTACAGACCCAGATTTGGATACCTATCAAGTCCATGCACTCATAAGAAAATTTTGTGATATTGCAGTGGTAGTAGGGCTAACACATTCCCTTTGTAAGTCCTGGAGAATGGATATAATTGCAGCATAATAAAGCTATCAAATTTAGTCCTTGACTAGGTAAAAAGTTAAAAAGATTGCCTCGGAATGTAGAGTAAGCAAAAGGAATACATACCTTGCCTACATCATTCCTTCCCAAGTCTACAAGCATAATGTGTTCAGCACATTGCTTTTGATCACTTAATAGCTGTTCCTCTTGCAATTTATCTTCATGCTCTGTCTTGCCCCTTCGGGTAGTCCCAGCAAGTGGCCGGTTAATAACCTTTCCCTGTGTTTTTTACGGTGTAGATTAGTAAGGACAATGATGCCATCTGATTAATAGCAATAAATGAGTCCACATACCTTCTCGACTTTTGTAAGAATTTCAGGACTAGATGCTACCAGGATACAACCTCTTGCCTAAAGATGATAAAAGACATTATTAAAACTTCAAAAGCAAAACAGTGCTTATACAATGTTCCAATGGTACACAATACACATTGACAACATCAATAATTCTTGTAATCATATAAAAAAAACATATACCCAAAAGATCTTGTAAATTTACCTGCACATATGCCATGTATGGGCTTGGGTTGACAATTCGTAAAGCTCGGTAAACCTCAAATGGAGTGGCATAAGTTCGCCTCTCAAAACGCTGGCTTAAAACAATCTGGAAAATATTACCGGCCAGAATATGCTCCTTAGCCTGCATAACAGCACTCTTGTACTCATCACTTGTCATGGTCGATTTGTTCAAGGGAGTACCAAACTGCCGAGTATGTAGCTTCACAAATCCTGGAGAGAGCTTGGGGCTGGGGTAGAAATTAAATTGATATACAGGTTGTAAGCACCAAACAAAAATTAGCAAAATATTATATTTAAGGAAATGACACAGCATATCTTACACATTTGCATTGTGAACTTTAGAAAGCAACCGCTTCAACCGGGACCTGCCATCTTTGTATGCTTCCTCGGTGGATGCATGCCGGTCCACACTTACCCAATGGATGACATATACTTTCTGCAACGAGCACAGAGCCACAGAATTTGAAATGAATACAAGCTTTCCATTAATTAAAATGAGGAACAAGTAAATGTTATTTTGACTCATAAGTTGCAACCTACTAAACATGGAACAACAAGAATGATGTAATTTCACTTGATGCGGTAATGAGCTAAAGAAATGACAGGCTTGCACTATTTAGTTTAGTTCTTAACAGGCTTGCACTATTTAGTTTAGTTCTTACTATGGTCAATGGTGTACCAATACCATGCACTACTATCGATTTGCTTCCTTGAAAAGAGATGCATAAACTGACAGTGATGAACCAAATATATCAGATAACGTGAAAGAAGTATGAAGAACAGTAGCCGTCCCTGGCAACAACAAATCAGAACTTTGTTAAAGATGACATGCTAGAAATGGATAGTGAGGAATTAAGCACCTTCTCAACATTGTCGAAGACAAGAACATCATCGTAAAGCCCCAAGTGAACATCAGGAAGGTTCCTATCATCGTGGGGAGCACCAGAGAAAGGTATCTTCTTCTTTTCGACATAGCGGACTGTATCATAGGAAAAGAACCCAACCCATCCACCTATCACAAACAAGGGGGGAAAATGCAATTATTCCCATTTCAACATCAGGCAACACCATATATTTCTCTTATGTTTTAGTTGATTTTGATCGCTCACCGCTGAAGGCCTCAGGGAGCTGGTCGATCTCCTGCGGGTGCCATCCCTCCATTATGCTCCTGGGAACCTGCATAGGATCATCCATGATCTTCTCCGTCACCTCGGCCTTCTCGTGGTCCATGATGGTGACCTTGTTCTCCTTGGCCACGACCTCCATCACCGGGTGGGCTCCCACCATGCTGTAACGACCCTTGAATCCATTCCAGTTCCACAAAGTTATTGCAAGGATAAGAATCGATAAGGGAGTAGATTAGGGAGGAGGGACGTACAACGTTGGTGGTCCCCTCGAGCCCCTGCTCGACGGACTCGAAGAGGAAGCTGGGGGTGTCCATGTCGTCCTCGGGAACGAGGCAGCGGTAGGCGAGCACGGGGGTGAGGTGGTCTGACACGATGCACTCCCACACGGGCACCAGGTTGCCCTTGCCGGTCCCCCGCGCCGCCGCCTCGAAGAAGCGCCTCCGGTCCTCCTCCTCCGCCTTCGCGGCGGCGCTCCCATTGATCACCGGCGTCGCGCTCGCCGACGAGCACCTCAGGCCGCTGCTCCCCCTCCTGCTGCTCCTCCTCCCTCCGGCCGCCACCGCCCTCGATCTGCCCGCCGCCGCAGCCGCGGGCGGGGCGGGGTGGGCGGCGAGGCGCGAGGGCGAGAACGTGGCGGCGGCTAGGGATTCCATTGCGGATTGAATTGCCCCTTCCACTCCCTGCTCAACAACGGTCTGGCACTACTCTGTCAGATTTCGCGCTCGGAGAAAGAGATTGGGAGGGCGCGTATATATACGAGATGTCCAGATGGGAAGCTGCAATCCGGTTGAGTTTAGCAGCAGGTGAGGTGTGTGTGTGTTTTGACTCTTCTGATGGGGGGAGAGGATGACCACGCAGGAGACGATTTACGGCGGCTAAATTAGGCACGTCGATAAGTTTTGTTGATTGGATTGGCAGGTAAAGGTAAATACTGAAACTACTAATGAGCCAAAAAAATAAATTGGAAACTACTTACGAAAAGTAACTATTGCCCAAGTTTTGTTGATTGGATTGGCAGGTAAATATTGAAACTTACTAATAAGCCAAAAAAATAAATTGGAAACTACTTACGAAAAGTAATTATTGCCCAAGTTTTGTTGATTGGATTGGCAGGTAAATATTGAAACTACTAATAAGCCAAAATAAATAAATTGGAAACTACTTACGAAAAGTAACTATTGCCCAAACTACTTACAAGCAATGGAGTAATTGTTTTGGCAGTGCTAAGCAAATAAAATTTCAGGAATGTTAAGAATCTAACGTCGGATCAATTCAAACGGGGTTGTTTGGTTTGAGACTAACTTTGCCTAAGGTTGCCACATCTAAGGTTAGGCAAGTTTGACCAACTTGAGTGGGTGTTTGGTTCAAGCCACACCTTAGGGCATCTCCAGCCATTGCCCCCCCAGAAGGGGCAAAAAATCGCCCCCTGGGGGCGCACCGGCGCTAAACCGCGCATTGGGGGCATGATGCCCCCCAGTCGCGGCCCCCCACGAGTTTTTAAAATGTTTAAGTTCGGCGCAAACACAACGCAAACACGGGCGAGTTCGTTCAAATTTAAACATATTTTACAAAAAAGAAAAAAACTACCGCGGGCTACCCCCGCCGTCTCCCTCGCCGCCCACCCACGCGGTTCTACATGCCGAGGAGGTTGTAGAACCGCGTGTAGTCACCGCCGTTGTCGTCGTCGTCGCCCCCGCCGACGTCTCCGCCGTCAATGCTGCATCCCTCCCCCGGTTGGCGCGGCGGGTTGGACGGTCCGGGGGCGTCGTCGTCGTTGTCGCTGTCGAGGACCACGACGCCGTGCTCGTCCTCGCGCCCACGCTTGTGGGCGGCGATCTCCTCCAGGGCCCGGCACTGCCGGACCATCTCGTCGCGGAGGTAGTCGTCCCGCGCCCACCGCAGGGCGTCCTCGTCGGAGAAGCCACGCCGGGCTACCTCCTCGTACTCCGCGGGGAGGCCGGGCTCCGGCTTGGGCTCGACGAGGACGAAGCGGACGGTGGGGGAGGCGTTGTCGCCGATGCGGACGCCGGAGCTGCGGGTGCGCGCGCTGACAAGCGTGCCCTGGGGCTCCGGCTTGACGGGGCGGAGGTGGAGGCAGGGGGAGCCGCCGGACGAGGAGGAGGACCCCCCGGTCTCCATGCGCCTCGGGGTCCAGGAGCTTCCCCGGCGGCGTGAGAAGGACGGGGGAGCGGGGTACTCGAGGCGCGGCGTGTTGCCGCCCTCGATGTACTCGAGGACGACCTCCAACGTGCGCCCGGGCACGCCCCACCACCGACGCCGGCCGACGGCGTTGAGCCTGCCGGAGGTCTCGACGCCGTTGGTGGCCTCGAGCTGCTCGGCGTGACGGCGGCGGAAATAAGGTTTCCAAAGCGGGCTGTCGGGGACGTACCGTGGCCCCTCCCTCGCCGCACGCGGCAGGGACGAGCGGATGCGTGCGATCTCCGCACGCCGCGCCGCGCCGGTGGGTATCGGGGGCACCGGCACGCCGCCGGCGCTGATCCTCCACGCCCCGGGCACCCGCATGTCCGGCGGGACCGGGTACTCGGCCTCGAAAAGGAGGCGAGCCTCGTTCTCGTGAAGATGGCGGCGGCCGAAGCCGTTCGCCGCCGCGCCGTCGCCTGGGAAGCGCTCGGCCATGGGTGTGATGAACTGGAAACGGCGAGAGAGAGGAGAGGGAGGAACGACGACGGCGAGAAAGTGCGAGTCGCCGAGTGCGCTGGGGCGCGTCTTATATAGGCCGAGGCACCGCCCGTGTGCGAGCCGCCGTGAGTACGCGTGGCGGGCGAGGGCGGGCGAGGGACGCGCGTCATCCGGTCTTCACTGCGTCGCCCGTGAGGCATCAATGGCACAGGCTGATCGGCGCCGCAGCGCGACAGCTTTGGCATTGATTCGCCGCGGGAAATGAGGCGATGAGGACGACGAAGGGGCGAGAAGAGGGTAGAGTCGCTGACGCGGCGGGCCCGCGGCTGTTTCGTGCCAAAACAGTTCGCCCCGGGCGCCTCCAAGCGCGCCGGGTTCGGCCTGGGTCCGTCGGCGCTGTTTTCGGCCCAAGCCGGGCTCCTAGGGCGCGACTGGGCCGATTTTTCGGCGCCGGCGCAAAAAAAACGCCTGGGGAGGCCTTTCTGGGGCGCGGCTGGAGATGTCCTTAAGTAAGATTCCCTTAAACTTGCCAACTTGTGATTTTTATTTTGAAGAACTAACCTTAGACAAATATGATAATATTGTATGGTAAAATATGATATGATTAGGCCTAAAAACAAACAGGCCCCCGTAATTCCATCCTCACGACATATGCTGGGACGATCCTTACACGATGCCAAATCCAACAGCTTTGTGATATGAAGTGTCATCGGGGTGTGGCAACGTTCTTTACCTAGTAGTACGAAACTACTCCTTTCGCTTCTAGAAAAAAAATATTTTTATCATTTATGCCATTATTTGTGTCTCGCTACTTAGTTTTACCATTAGAAATTATAACTGTTCAAAATGCCATCTTTCATAAGATACTTCCTCACAAATGCCATTAGATATCTAAAAAATGACATCGTTTGGTTAGATGTTTACTTAAAATGTCATTAGACATAGTTATTGTCAGGTCAAACTCGTTGACCATGTTAAATGATGAAAATCCTTCTATATCCACATGTAGCTCTCTATATCTCACAATGATAAGCGTCGACCCCACTTGTCAGGAGTAAGCAAGTGAATAATTTTATAGGAAAATAAGAATGTTGTTGGGATCAAGTGGGATCCACACTTTATTGTAATGAGATAGAGGGAGAATTGACATATTAGTCTATAGGTATTTTGGTCATTATAGCATGGCAAATGAGATTAGAGCTGACAATAATGGTCTCTAATGGCATTTTTGAGCTTGTGCCTATTGAAGCGATGTCATTTTTGAGCCAGCTAAAATTCCTAATGGCAAAACTAAGTAGTGAAATACAACCAATGACATAAATGATAAATAAACAAAAAATAAATATCTCAAGCTTATACAATTTTATATTAAAGTTTGTACAAAGTTAAGACACTTATTTTAATTTTAAGATGGAGGGAGTACTTTAGAGAGACCACATATGCTGGGACGATCATTCACGATGCGAAATCCAGCAGCTTTGTGCACTTTGATTTGACTCATGGATGGTGGGGATATGCAAAACATGAGTGAAGTCTAAAAAAACCTTCAATTCGTATGTCGCGTCGAAATCAAACCCTGACCTTCTAATACCTGAAATTGATATCCTATACTTGTCCATCCCGGTCAATGTCGACCTTGTGTGTGTTTGGCACACCGGGAAAAAAGACAATCCCAGCTGATTTCGCCTGCTACTCTCACCGATAATACGGGTCCACATGTCATATTCATCCCTCTCCTCCCGCTGTTCCTTCCTATCTTGCGCGGAACCGCGCGCCCTTGCAAATCGAGCTGCCGAGGTCGCTCGCGACGGTAGTGATGAGCTGACAGTCAAGAGGAGGAAGGGTGGGAGGCGGGTCCACATGCGCCCGCGACAATGCTCAAAGGTTCTGGATCTAGGGCCGTACTGGACGCCCGAGATGGTCGCCGCCGAGTACGACGTCGCCGTGGTTATCCCGATGGGGATTGTGTTTTTCCTACTACACCAAACTAGTCTAGATTTGGGCAGGGCCAGAATTGATCGGGATCGGTAAATATAGAGTACAAACTTCAGGGATTAGAAGTTGAGGGTTTAGTTTCAACGGGACGTACGAGTTCAAGGTTTTTTTCAGACTTTACTCTGCAAAACGTCGTGCATGAAGTGTCATCCGGTAGCAACGTGTTTTTTTCTTCTTTTGAGGGGACGGTAGCAACGTTGTTACTAGTACTCGTACCACGAGAGACAAGATGCACTTTTGACACTTGATATTCATGTGGGAACACGAGAGACGATTGCTGCACTCTGGACCTGTTTAACTTGAGACCAAATAATGTAGACAACTGTTGCACGTTTATAATAAGGCGGTAATCTCCTTTTTTTAGACAAAGGCAGTAATCTCCTGGCCGGTGGGGCCGGGTCACGGGCTGAGATAAGATCCACGTGAGCTTTTATCCATCTGCCTCCTCAGAGAAACACGGAGCATCTCGTCGCACAAACCAAAGGAGAAGAGAAGAAGAAAACTTCCAAATTAGATGGAGCATTTTGT